ACAGATAAGTAATAATATGAATTCGATACAATAAATCAATAAATTCAATGTGTGAATCAAATAAAATGTTTTATTAGTAACAATTATTCGTAGGAGTGATCACTAAGGAAAATTTCTGATGTATTTGCTTATAAATTGTCTGCACGTATGTATATACATATATTACTTTATATATATTACATATTACTTTATACATATTACTTTTAATAAAGATATATTTTAATTTTATATTTTATATTTAAATTTTTATTTATTAATTTTATATTTTTATTTTAAATATAAACATATATTTTTAATAAAGTATTAAAAATGTAACTTTTGTTGCTTGCAACATGTCCTTTTTTTAACTCCTCTCTATTCTCTCTAACAGCTCTCTTATTATTGATATGTTACATCATTATTTTGTTATTGATTTATTAATGACTTTTATTGTAATTGATATATTTTTTACTTTTGTAAGATTTTTTAATAAAATTTATTATTTTTTAGTAACATGATAAAGTTGTTAGTTGATAATGTGACTGTTAAATGCAAGTCTTATAGAGTCTCTCTCTACAACATTCAAATTCCAAATATAATCAAATATGGTTAAAGCTATTAACTGATAATATAACGCACTGGAATATCAATTCCTGTTTGAGTTTGTTTAAACATAAGTAATAATTAGAATTCTATCTGTAAATGCTGATTATCGGCAAAATCATTTAAATATATTCGACCAATAGATTATCCTAAAAAGTTGATCAAAGTATATCGAAAGAATAAGTTTCCAAATCAGCAATTTGATCTGATCTGCTACTGAATTTGCATCCTGAGTATCTCACCAATTCCGCTAGAATTGATCAAATAAAAACTAGTAGGCTATGTTATTAATTTTGCAGAATAAATTAATAGGAAAAGCTTATAATAGAAACATAGAATTTATTGTTCCTATATAAGGTTGTGTGTGTACAAGAACTTCTACTTAATAAACATACATATTTCAGTATTATTGATATACAAACCAAATTCTTATAAATAAATACTACAAAACATAAACTTAATCTAAATCTAAATTTAACTTTATATAATATATACATATTACTTTCATTTTTCAATATTTTAGCCAACGCTCGTTTTTTACAATTGTTTATTGTTTAAAAGACCCAATGTGCTTGCTCTTACTTATTATTGAGATGATAGAATACCTTCTCCCCTTCTTTAGTCTTTTCTTGTTTCACTCTATAATAAAGAATACCATAAATAATGGATTATTATGTTTTTCTTCAAAACACAATAATATTTTGGAACAAGTTCAATATTAATTTATTCATATCATTTAATATCACTTTTGACATTAATCTTTGTTTTATTACTTTCCTGAAATAAAAACACTTTTTGTAATAGAAAACCATTATATAACATATTTTGTTAGAAATTACTTACTTGATTTACTTGTGACGACGAAATATTTGTCATCAATTTAAGGAAACTATGATTAGTTTCATTCTTATTAATAATCTGCAAATATTCTGTTCTTGTATTAAGAACTTCCTCAAGTTGTCTTTTATATTTTCTTGCTAATTCTAAAGCTCTAATTGAAAAAATAAATAAATATATATTAATTGTTTGAAATATATAAAAGAACTGAAAAATACGAATAACTATAGAGTAATTCTTTAAAAATAATCTGTAAAAAAACAAATATATATGTATGTATATATGTCAAAAAATATTAAATGTTACTTTTCTAAAATTTTTCAAAAACATTTTTTTAATAAACGATTTAAATGTAATTATCAAAAATTAACTGCTCAAAAATAAATATAAAATTAATGAAATTTGTCAAGAATTTTATTACTCAACTAAGATCTAATTGGAAAAGCTTATTTATGAAAAATCTATTAAAAAACTGTTAAAAAATAAATATAATATAATATAAATGTAATTAACTAAGAATTGTAATACATTCAAAAGTACATTCAGCAGAAGTTTAACCCTAGGCTACCACACTATATTTATCACTCAAATCTACCACACTGGGTAAAATAACCCGGCCTACCTATTTTTTTGCTTCGGTTTAAACGCATCGATTTAGAATTTTTTTTAAATTTATACGCCAGATAGTAAGAAAGATGACTGAATAGATAGTAACACTTAAAGATTTTAAGGGCCCTGCCTAGTCATCGCGGCTATATTGGACTCGTGACATCAGAAGCGAGAAACAGCGAGAAATGACACGTAAAAGTTTGTTGCGTGCCATTTTTAAATAAAGAGGATTTGGATAAAATTAATAAATAGGATCACTTTAGAAAACTTGTAAAAATGGATGAAAACTATCCT